ATATATATATGGCTCATAAGCTTTATACCAAGGCTATTAAATGAAGGAAACCCTTGGATATGTTAAGGTTTCCTGTTGGAGACAATGAAAGGTCTACAAAGTGGATGGAGAGGTGATGTTTGTCTGTTACCCAAGGATTGCTTTCTCTTGGAAATGTAGAGCTAATGATTTACTGTTCAGATAACATGTAGGCAGGATGGCTATCTGATAAGACTCCTGTGTACAGGTAGTTCACAACATTTCTCATTTAATTATATCATAATTTGCTTAAATGCCTCATTAATGTAACATCCTAGCTTCTGATGTGTGGATCTTTAAGTTCTCAGCATAATGCTTGCTATGAGCATATCATTTCTTTCACCAGTTTAACATTGTTTTCCACATTGAAGCCACTGTAATTTCATTAGTATCACGGATGATTAAAACAAAAACATAGTTATAGAGACCTTCGCTCTCATATTTTCCTTTGATACAGGGTGGCATTCTAACAATGAAAATTGCAGTGTTTTAGTTTTCTTATGCCTAGTATTGCCAGATCTAGCAAATAAAAATCCAGGTTGTCCTGCTGGGTATGGTGGTACATGCCTGTAATTCCAGTACCAGATGCCTGAGGCAAGAAGATTCCTGCAAGTTTGAGGCCAACCTGGGCTACAAAGTGAGTTCAAAGGCAGCCTGGATTACATAATGAAACCTCTCTGTCTCTCTGTCTCTCTCTCTCTCTCTCTCTCTCTCTCTCTCTCTCTCTCTCTCTCTTCCAGTAAAATTTGAATTTGAAGTGCACAGCAATGTTAAGTGTGTTCCCTATAATGTAGAACTCAGATCCAGCCAACTGTTTTATATTTTTTCTGACAGACAGATTGAGTCTTTTTTCTGCAGCTCATCTATGCAGTCAAGCTCATCTGTGCAATGGGTTTGATGTAAGATCAGCTTTATTTGAAGCCTTACTTCAGGGAGCTTTAGCTGTCCTCCACCAGTCCATTCAAAATGATCTGTCCATTGAAATTAAAGAAGCTAATAAATATATGAAAAAGTGCTCCACATCACTAGCCATCTGTGAAATGCAAATTAAAACAACATTGAGATACCATCTCACCCCAGAAAGAATGGCTATCATAAACAAATCAGCCAACAACAAATGTTGGAGAGGCTGTGGGGAAAAGGGAACCCTTGTCCACTGCTGGTGGGAATGTAGACTGGTGCAACCATTATGGAAATCAATGTGGAGACTCCTTAAGAAACTAGGAC